TGCTGCCCGGACGCTGCGGGCGCTCGCTCCCTGCTCGGCTCGGCCCCGCCGACCCCGCTCTCCCCGCGCAGAGCAGCTCAGCCCTGCAGTGGCTCCGGACTGGATGCTATGAGAGGGAAGCGAGCGGAGCGCCCAGACCTGCAGGAGGCGTCGGATGCACCGCCGGTGTCGAGACCGGGATCGCTCTCCTCTTTGCCTTGCCCTAGGGTGATTATTTGGCGCTGGGCATAGTCCTGCCGTGCCTCCGAGGAGACGGGCGTCGCGGAGAAGAGCCGTTGGTTCGTGTGTGTGTGTGGAATATCTGCAGACATGACTGCGTGGAGGAAATTCAAGTCGCTGTCACTGCTTCGGGTCCTGCTGGCTCTGGGCGCGGGGCTCCTCACTGCAGCGAAGGGTAAGCGAGGCTTCCTTGTTACCAGGGGAGATGCTTGGCTCCTGGGAGGCCACGTTTTCGAACCCAAGTGTTTGCTTTCAGAAAGGCACGCACATCTTCCTGGTAGTTCTCCATCACGGATGCTTGGGGAGTGCAGTGCCAGGGAAGGGAGCTTTCATCCTAGCTCTCCCCATACCCACCCCACCCCACCCCTGCCTCTCCTTCCCCCTCACTTAGGCTAAAGGAGGTAGCTCTGGGGTTTTCTTTCTCTCTTTTGGGTGGTGGTGGGGATTTTGCTGTTGTTAGGGAAACAGAGCCAAACTGGAGTTGGGAAGAAACTGCGCTGTGGCGGGGTGATGTTGCCTCTTTAGAGATGTGGGCACCAGGGGTAGGTGCAGAGTGGGTGAGGGTAGTTCCCAACACTTTTAACCTCGAACACTTGGGTAAGTGACCAGGGGCAAAGCCGACCTTGTAAGTTTGGGGTCTCTGTAGGGATTTTGGTACAGACTGGCAAACCTTCCTTCCAGCTCTGCCTAGCTGCACACTTGTACCCCATTCCTCTGTTCCTCTGCCCTCGCCTCCAGTGTGCTCACGGAGGGACAAGTAGCTGCCTCTGTACAGTCACTCCTCCTTCCTAGCTCTGGACTTCGCTCCTTGCAAGTTGTGTGGAGCAGGGTCCTGCATGGGCTTTCACCTCAGGTTTGATCCTGTAGTCACAGGGTTCTGTCCCCTTCCTCTCCCTGACCAAGAAAAGGAACCTCCTCTGGTTTGCTCCTGGAGTTTGGGCTTTATGAACTTGATTTTCTCCTTGAAATGAGTTAAGAAATATTTTCCTCTAAGTAGGCTACAGGCTGCAACCTCCGAGCTGGCAAAGGCTCCTGCACTTGTCTGTTCTCTGGGAAAGAAAACAATCTCTCTCTTGATTCAGAGAGAGGGGGAGGGAGGGAGGAAGAGAGAGAGAGAGAGAGAGAGAGAGAGAGAGAGGAGGGGATTGGGGGAATGGGGGAGAAGGAGAAGAATAAGAGTGAATATTGATTGATTTTCACATTGAAATGTAGCTGTCCCCATTTCCTCTTTTTAGCAGCTTCGGTTGCTTCTGTTTCTCAATCATCACCCTATCAGATGACTTCTGGGAATAACTCCATCTATATGGAGTTTCCTCTCCTCCGTTTTAAAGGATAGAGTCAATTAAGACTTAGGGCTTTATAAAAGTGATCACTTGCTCTTTGTAGACAAAACTCCCCTCCCCTTTTATCTCTAGATTCTTCCATCTTATATTTCACCCATTTTCTATTCCTCCAGTGTTCCAGATTCAAGGGTGATTGACAATCCGAAGGAGGACTCTATCAGATTCCATTCGGAAACTCCAGATCGCCCTGGAGGAAGATAGAGAGAATTGCAGATTAGAGTTCCCCTCCTCATTGCAATTCATCACTGGGTGTCTAAAGCTGGGGGAAAGCCTGACCTCTCAGAACCAGTCCCTCCATACAAGCCCAGAGGTTCACAAAAGGGTCTCTGAGGGAATGCACCCCAAGATTGAAGGCCTTTCTCACAGTGAGCCCCAGTGACCCAAGCTATGCTTGCTCTCTTAGGATTGGTAAACTTCCCACAGGAGCTGAACTGCAAATGTTTGGCCTTGGCCTAGGTTGTTGGAGACACTGCCTAAGGCACAGCCAGGGGAGAGAGGCCAATGTGACAGAGGCCTTTGGTTACTCTGTACTTGCTGGGATGCGAAACAGGAAAAAGTGGAGGGCTAACAGGCCCTTCCTTACCTTGAGGGTGTGTGTGTGTGTGTGTGTGTGTGTGTGTGTGTTGGGAATAAGGTTTGGAAGGCAGGGACCTGGGGACAGAACCCAACCTCGCCTAGCCTCTGCTTGGAGAGGAAACACATGTCACACAGCTCTGCAGAAACTTCCCGCCTCCCTTTTCCACCTCCACTCAAAACCGACCTGAGGGCTTCCTCCTGTCTCAGCAGCTCAACCCCCAAGTGCACTCTCTGTTCCCTGGGTTCCTCCCTCCTTGGTTTCTTCCCCCGCAATTAGCAGAGGTTGCTGTGTGTCTATGGCAGTCGCTGTGGCTCAGCTTCGGTGTTTAATAAGCCGCACACGTGTGTGCTGGGTGTTTTCCGCCCCCACACGGATGGGAGCACATGCATCGGACTATGGTGGGGGCCAGGGAAGAGCAGTGTGTAGCGGTAAATGGGGAGGCAATCTTAGGTCCTCTGGAAGGTCCTGGGGCAGACAGGGCAGTGAAGCACGTGGTCTTGGGCACCCAGCAGTGTCCACTGACAGTTCCAGCCAGAGCTTCTCCGTGCGATTGCTCTCATGTGTCGCGGCTGTCCCTGGGTTCCAGGTTTAGAATCCAAGACTTAGAGACCCAGGTCACAGGTGCCCCACCTGCGCGGCGCAGGAAGAGTCTATGTGGTCCCATGTGTGTGTCTGGCGACCCTTGCTTACTGTGCTATTGTCTGCCCAACGTGGGGGACAGGGGCACCGGGCTCCTTTTGGCACACAGTGGGCGCGCTCGCTTTGCCTGGGCATCGGATTCTCGGTCGCGCCCGGAAGTCAAGTGCGAGTCTAGGTTCAAGAGCCAGTGGCTCTGTTGGAGCCCCGCTGCTGGCAGGAGGCAGTGACGCAGACTTCCAAGTCACCCTTTGGCGCCCCAGGATTTGGGGCGGAGTCGTGGCCCCAGGGCCGCTCAAATCCTGATGGCCAGAGTCTGCCTTTCTCTGCCTTCTGGGGTCCCTGTTCAATCTCTGGGGTCTGCCGCCGGTTCAGGAGCGCAGCTGAGCTGTAGCGCGCAGTAGGGCTTCCCCAAAGCGGCAGAGCCCTCAGGATGGCAGTCCCTGGTCCACTGTCATGAGCCCTGGTGGCCTCTCCCGCTGTGGCAAAGGCTGGCGCAGGGTTTTTGATGCGTGGGTTCGAATTCGTGACCTGTTTGCCGACTAGAGCGAGGCTGGAGGCGTCCGCAATTGCGGTCATTAGAAACCCTTCATTAGCTTCAGGCGATTGTGCTATAAAATATTGAAGCTTCCGGGAACTTGCTTTTGATTTTCTTTTTCATTTTGTTTATTGATGATGGTGTAAAGGTTGAGTCCCAAGTCTGCATGTCTCTTCAAAAGCATCTTGTTTGCAGGGGCGAGGGGAAGTGGATGTTGACTTTAAGCATTTTCAATAGTGAATAATAGGTGGGGCTTCTCATTCCCTGAGCTCTCTGATTCTTGCCCTTTCTAGGAGGGTGAGCTAAGAGTGCTGTGACAAAGTTTTCTTTCTACTGTCTTCCGTGCTGAGATTGCAATGCAGGTATTTGCAGGTTTTCCCTCTCCCAAAGCACCCTAAAAGGGAGCGCATTAGGTGCTCTCTGGAAGCCATCTCACAGCAGGAAAGCAGGAGAGAAAGGTGGAGAATTGGGTAGAGTCCCCTACAACTCATAATTCTAATATCCTCTCACGAGCCTGGCAAATTGGTCCAGACATGTAGGGAGACACATTTCTGCAGAAGCATTTGAGTTCACCTAAATAAACGGGATGTGAGAGTGTGTGAGAGAAAAGGCTCGCTAGCCTGCAAACTTGTAGATGACCTACAGTTTTGAAAAATCTTCCTCACCAAGAGAGATGGAAACCTTTAATTGGCCAGTCAAATCCTGGCTGTCAGGGCCACATGAGGTAAGAATGAGCTTCAAGTTTGTGGGAAAATGTTGTCTTCTTTCAATGCCATTTTCCATGAACTTTTTGAAGCTCGTCTTCCTCCTTTACTTGTGCAACTCTCTCAGGAAGCTAGCAATCCCTCTTAAACAAGCTGCTTGCACAGAGAACCCCTAATACATCATTTGCATAAGGTAGAGTACTTAGAGTGATGTTAATATTTCTGTATTAATGAGTTTCTTTGTAAATTAAGGAGATTCAAGTATTTGTCTATTTCAAAATTTGTTTTAGTCAAAGCTCTGCTCCCCTACCCCCCCACCCCCACCCCCCACCTCCCGCCATCCATCCAGTTTTCCTTCAGGATTTTAAATACTTAAAAAGATGAGCAAAAAGGAGAATGACTTTCAAGGTGGCAGATGTGGTAAACTTGGATAGCTGAACAATGAGATCTCATCAAACAAGTATAGAAACGCAAATAGCAAGTAGTGGAGGGATAGAAGCATTCCCTCAGGTTTCAAACATCTCCAGGAAGGGCAGGCCTGGTAAGGGAAGGGAATTGCTATTTTTATATTGGTTTGCAGCTGGTCAATCATGCTTGATAAGAAGACTGCCACAACTACAGTACTTAAAAGTTCCTACAGGCAAAAACAGCTCCTCCTGGGGGCAATGCTTCCTTAGTCTCCAGCTTATTGTTTCAAACAAACACTAATACAGCTTCCAAATGTCAAGAAAATGCTTCAGCTTCTTTCAAAAAACAGATAAAGGCACAGTGGCCTGTTAGGTCTCATTGCAGACTCTATAGCAAATCCGGTGTAGAGATTTCTAAGCTTGTCAAAATGCAAATAACATATTAAATACTCCATGTGCTCCTGAATTCTAAATGTGTCTCTGAAAATTTTTCTGCTGAGCTCATAGTTAGAATACGCCATGACAACATAACTATCCGGAATTGAAACTCAATATTCCTTTTGACCTTTCGTGCTTCTTCTAAGCCTATTTCCTTCAGTAATTTAATTAACAATTTCAGTAGGTAATTGTTGTACATCATAGGTGACAAAGATTGACTTTTTAAAGTGTGTTGTTAGCTACTGAATCAGTGTGAAATATCTGAGACAAGTTACAGATGCAATGTAATGTTTAGTTGTATTTATACTTTTGGGTCGCGTAGGTGGATTTAATAGTCTATTGGCAGGAACTTGCTTTGTTATGAAGAGCAGTGCTGTCTGCTATAACCATACATGTTCTACTGTGTATTGTGACCATTGGAGCAGCCAGCAGTGAACTGAAACAAACAAATAAAATCCCAAAGTACTGGCTATTATAGTAGTACTGCAACCTGAGGCAAAGGAATCGATGTGTTGGCTGTGCAGAAACCATT